AGAGTTGAAGAACCTTTATCTACTCCCTTCTGGCAGTGGTGCCATTGCAGTCAGGTCTCACAGACTACGAGGAGTAGAAGTTGTCCGCCTTGGCTGCAGACAGTTTATACTCCACCCCTGCAGCCGCCGGCAGATCGCGCTCCACGTTGCGTCAGCTGCAGACAGACCTAAGCCCAAGTCGAACGCACCCATTGCTTCTTTAAGGGAGCATGGGCAAAATTACAACGTCGTTGGTGATTGGCTTTTGTGCTGGCGTTCAGTAAACCTCTGCTTGATAGGCCATCGAGTTGTCTGTCTCAGCGCATTCTCTAAAACGGAGCAAATTTGGTTGATCGAGTTTTATAGTCTGTGTGTATCGTGATCGTCCTTATTTTTTATCGATAAAAAATCGAGATCGTTTTATCGCTCAGCACTAATAGCATAGTTATAATTCAATTAAATTAGGTATTTTACATTCATTAGAAAGCATGGTCTTGGAGGTGCAAGTCAATCTGGAGGCTCATTCTCTTCAATTCAAAGCAGAGGATCATTACATAGCCGTATTCATAGCTTACCCGAGGCCTCTCTCCCTGGTTTAAGAGACTTAATATGAACATATTTCTGGTACATCCCATCTCTTTCCCTTGACGAGGTCTGATAAAATGGTTATAGGGGAGGATTGCTGAGAATATTATTTCCCATCAGGCCTCATAACTATGACAAATCTGGGAGATTTTAAATGAAAGACATATGGACAATATAATTGAAAACATAACATGAATTTGATTTAACGAGTAATGACACTTTACAGCAATGCCTTTTTTCTCTACAGTTGATCTGAGTAATGTGATGTCAATTCTAGCCCTAGTCTGTTTTCGGTCTTGGTCTTGGTCTCGACCAGTATTGGTCTTGGTCTCGCCTCAGTGTGTCTTGGTCTTGGTCTTGGACTTGGTCTTGGTCTTGGTACCCTCAAGTCTCGGCAGTGTCTTGGTCTTGATACCCTCCGGTCTTGGCAATGTCTTGTTCTCGGTTTAGGCGGTCTTGACTACAACACTAACGGTATTACAAAATAACTGTACACCCTGTAGGCTAATGTAAACTCTGGAATCAGAGAGAGCCCAAACAGACTCATCAGTGTGGCAGTAGAGCACTAGGGAAACTAGGAGACAACTCCTTGTCAAAGAGATAAAAAAACGATCACCCTTCGTTTACTGGCCCCACTGTCCCTGATCTGCGGTCGCATGTGCACTAGGTTTCACGTATGCTGTGCATGCTCCAACAGTGTATAGCGCATTCACAACGCATTTTGTTTTTGTGCCATTAACCTGTGTTATTCTTTGACAGCATCTCTGTGTCCGTTTAGCAGAATGGACTGTCTGTATTTTTGATGGTATTAAAATTAATACCTTTGAAGTTTCTAAATAATGGGGTATGACATAATACTGTCATACTGCCCAAGCCTAATTGGTATTGGCTCAACAGTTCAACATTGGTACACGACTATCCAGAACCAAAATTCCATTTACATAATATAATAAACATCAATGTTGTACTAATTTGGAACATCCTACAATACAAATTCACTTCATGTGTAATTTGATATATTGTCTTAGTGGGACCATGCAAAAGGAGGACAATTAGTCAGGAGGCCATTTTGCACATTCTGCAAAACACCTGCTGGGATCTGATAATACAGCTGTATGCTCCTCACCACGAAAAGTGGATTATTACAGAGCTGACAAGTATTTTTAAATGGAGACTGATTTCATAAGGCAGGGGTTTCATATTTCACCATTAAGATCAGTTAAGGCCCCCTAAGGCCTGAGTGAAAATGAACCCAGTCACCCCCCTCCAGGGCTCAGGTGGTCTAAGAGCAGATTAATATGGGGAATGCCCCCCCTCCACCACCACCTTTTTGTCTTTTTATTGCATATCTGTCTGAACCCATCAGACACCAAGACAGATTTTGGTTACAGATCAACACTGTCTCGCTGTGTATTTTAATTCCCAAATTAGTCTATTATGTCTCAGTGAACAATAGGGGACAAAGAGGACCCCAGTCTGTTGAGGTTAGCTTAGATTTCCAGCAAAGCAGATCTATAACAGAAGAGATCACTGTGTGTCACATGCATGAGATACAGGCAAAACAAATGCATGCAGACAACCAAAAGTATCTGACTCTGCAACCATCAACAAATTCAACTTCTAATTAAGAAGTAATCTTACATTATAGGTAACCAATACTGCAATGCAAAATTATGCTAACGTACTTATTATTTCACGCATATACAAATAATTCAACATGTTTGGTCTTCAGTGTTGAAATCTGTATAAAAGTAGATACACACATCAGGAACCCTAACTGATAAGTTAATAGAGTTGACCCGTCCACCCCTGGCAAGCAAAGCGAGCACCAGCAGAGTGAGGCAAAAGGAAAAGATATGAGAAATGCCAAATGAAAAGATCACTGCACGATATCAGGTAAGAGGCTGCCGTAAACACGCTTCCTCCAAACCAGCACTGGTCATGTATTTTATGTATTCATGAGTCACTAAACTCTTTGTGTGTCATCTTCTGGCCTTCCTGTGTCATTTGTGGCTTTCTCAAAACTCCCTAAAACTCCCCTTTTAAATTTCTTATGCTGACCCCGTGATATATTGACACCGCAGTGGGGGGGGGGGGGGGGGGGGG